GAGCCCCTAAATTGGAGCCTCGAGTTCTACGATAAGTTTCAGAATCTTGTCGGAGGTGGAAAACCAAAAATGAGATGGTATTTTAGAGAAAATGGATGGCCAATATCGACGATTTTCGATGCTCCTCCAGAGAATGACGATGATCGAGAAAAGCTGATCGATACTCTTCAGGTCACACTCACTAATGATAAAGATTGGTTTTTTCAATCTTGCAAATGTGTAAAGATTGGTTTTTTTTCTTTTGCAGGATTGGAAAACAGAGAGATACAAAGAAATTATAAAATCAGGAAGTGTAAGTAAACATTTTGAAAAATCTTTGAATTTTTCTACAATTAGTGATTTTTTTTTCTGAGAGAAATTAAATTTTGGTTTCAGGTAGAACCAAGACCTGGTGTAATAAGACTAATGGATGAAGCAAAAGCTGCTGTAATAAGATCATCTTCATGCTTTGTGAAATGTTTTGAATTGGTTTTTGTTTTAGCTCTTTAATGAATATGGTTCTTGAAATGCTTACAGGGGAAAAAACTTGCTGTTTGTTCTGCAGCTACAAAGAGTTCGGTTATAATGTGTCTCGAGAATCTAATCGATATCGTGAGTTGTTTCCTTTCGCCAATTTCGTATCGAATGTGTTTTTGTCGAAAAAATTCTTAATCGGTTATATTTATGTCTTTAGGAGCGATTCCAAGGACTCGATTGCTTCCTCGCAGGTGATTTCATCGCATTCTCTGAGTTACTTATGTGTCAAACACTAGTCTAAGTTGTATTTGGCATTGCAGGAGACGATGTTAAGGAGAAAAAACCCGATCCTTCGATATATATAACAGCTGCTGAGGTAATACAAAGCCAAGGAAACAAAACTTTATATAACTTTTAACATGAATTAAGTTAGTTTCACATTTTTGTGTTGATTGCAGAAGCTAGGTGTTTCAGTGAAAGACTGTTTAGTCATAGAGGATAGTGTGATTGGCCTTCAGGTTATAAATCTAATATTTTGCTCGTTGCTCTTGTTTGCGTTTCTCACATTGATTGTTTGGTCTACTCGAAACTCGGATCTTGAAATGGTCCTTTCTCTTTCAATCTTTAATTTAGGCAGCTACAAAAGCAGGAATGTCATGTGTGATCACATACACTTCTTCAACTTCTGACCAGGTCTGGACCACAACAA